AAACCCTAAAACCCTGATAGATCCCTGTCGAGGGTTTAGGGTTAGGGGTTTAGGGTTAAGGGTTTAGGGTTTGGGGCTACGTATTCCGACCCCTTGTTTTCGCAACTACTCTGCTACGTTAGTGGGGATATTGGAGCTTTCGGCTTCGGGATCGCTGAAACTTTGTCAGCTACCGAGCCCATGCAGTGCATGGAGCATCGGGCAACTCAGCAAGCAGCTTTTGAGGTTTAGGGGTCTAGGGTTAAGGGTTTAGGGTTAAGGGCCAACTTCTGAAGCTGCTGTTGGGTTTTGCAAGGGCTTTACAGGGGTTAAGCTTTGAGGCTTTGATTGTGGATTGTGCACGGATTTGCAAGGGGTCAAATAAGGGTTTTTATACAGGCTGTAGATGGCTTTTTATGGGTCGTTAAAAAAGTTCGGAGCTTAATAGTCATACGAGTTCACCTGGTTTTTGCAAGTGAGGTCTGAGGATGCAAGCTGTAGGATGCAGAGTCAAGGATTCAGGATTAAGGCAACTTGGGTTTAGATTTGCAGCTTCTGGGGTTTAGGGTTTAGGGTCCGGTTCGGGTTAGGGTAACTTGGGGCTTAGATCTGAGGCTTTGGGGTCATTATGCTCGGCTCTGGTAGGGCAGCCATGCGCAGGGCCTGCTTGCCACCCTACTTACTGAGTCCTCCCGAGCTCCAATGCGGGATGTGAATTCCCTAATCCCTAACCCGAAACCCAAACCCATTGCAACCTGTCACTGCAGTGCAGCGGGATCAGTCCTTTCGCGCAAAGCTTGCGGATCGCAGCATTTAAGGTAGGTAGGTGTAGGTGTAGGTGTAGGTGTAGGTGTAGGTGTAGGTGTAGGTGTAGGTGTAGGTGTAGGTGTGTAGGTGTGTAGGTGTGTAGGTGTGTAGGTGTGTAGGGGCGTAGGGGTGTAGGGGTGTAGGGGTGTAGGGGTGTAGGGGTGTAGGGGTGTAGGTGTGTAGGTGTGTAGGTGTGTAGGTGTGTATGTCTGTAAGTGTGTAGGTGTGTAGGTGTGTAGGTGTGTAGGTGTGTAGGTGTGTAGGTGTGTAGGTGTGTAGGTGTGTAGGTGTGTAGGTGTGTAGGTGTAGGGGTAATCATTTCTCCCAGGCTCCTTGTTATAATACCACCATTGCCAAGAAACCTGCTCGAGATCTTTACTTTATGCTAAAATCCTTATACCCTAAACCCTAAACCCTAATATACAGTAACCTTCATAGCACCCCCTATGGAACTCTTGACAAGGAACCATGCAAGGAGCCCTCTTCGAAGAAGACCCCTATCTTGCTTTTGAAGACAGGGGCGTTGAGGTTTTGAAGCTTTAAGGATTAGGGCCTGGGGTTTAGAGTTTGGGGTTTGGGTTTAGGGATCTCCTACAGAACCCTAAACCCTAAACCCTAAACCCCTAAGCCCTGAACCCGAATCCCGGGTCCTCCTGCGGAAGCGGAAGCATGGCCGCAATCGCCAGCTCGGGCCCATAGGAGAAGAAGATGAGAGCAAAGTTAGCGACCTGCTTCAAAGAATATAGGCCCTTGACGTGTCGAACAAGGCTTTTCGGAGGCGGATAGTCTGCTATAGCTATAGAAAGACTCCTAAACCCTAAACCCT